GAGAACTCTGCGTTTCTCTCTTCATTTCTACTTCAAATCTAATGTGTCTCATCTGTTCACAGCCTGTGGCACTCAACAAAAGTGGAAACGTTAGAGCCCCTGCGATACAAAATAATCACTTAAAATTAACTTGCTAACTAAATCCAGTTCTGAGGGCAAATAAAAAAAACCCAAAGCTCAATGCGAAAGATCCAGTGCTTGTGAAATGCTCACTAACAATAGCCTTTACTATTTTTTTAAATTAATTTTATTTCTTAGTTTGTTTCCAGACCAAGAAATCTGATGTAACTGGTCCTTCACAAGTTTTAGCTGAATATCAATTGTATAGAGCAAGTAAAAAATAAGTTGATGCATCAACCATTTCCATAATCGCTACTGTCAATGACATATTAACAGTGTTGACTAACTGTTGCAGCCCAAGAGGTGACACCATTTTCACGCCTTAATAAACACAAAAGATGTGTAACTTGATTTAATGTTGATTTTATAGCTTTATTTAGGAAAGGCAACAGGTCACAGGCCTATTTTAAACTCATTTTATACTGATACATACTAATATAACTAGTACATTGGTGACTTTAAGCATCTTTACGTAGAAAAGATTCTTAGAGTGTCTTGACAGCAACTAGTGTAAGAAATGATCATTAAATCATATTTTGGAAAAAACAGTACATGTAAAATATTGGTATATATTTTATATATATATATATATATATATATATATATATATATATATATATATATATATATATATATATATATATATATATATATATATATATATTTCTCTGCATTTCTCTGTTTTTACCATGTTCTTCAGTGGCCAGGACCCCATGGACCCTCACAGAGCAGGTACTATTTGGGTGGTGGATCATTCTCAGCACTGCAGTAACACTGATGTGGTGGTTGTGTGTTAGTGTGTGTTGCGCTGGTCTGAGTGGATCAGACACAGCAGTGCTGCTGGAGTTTTTAAACACCTCAGCATCACTGCTGGACTGAGAATAGTCCACCAACCAAAAATATCCAGCCAACAGCGTCCTGTGGGCAGCGTCCTGTGACCACTGATTAAGGACTAGAGGATGACCAACACAAACTGTGCAGCAGCAGTTGAGCCATCGTCGCTCACTTTACATCTACAAGGTGGACTGACAAGGTAGGAGTGTTTAGTAGAGTGGACAGTGAGTGGACACAGACACTGAGTGCTGAGAATGATCCACAACCCAAATAGTACCTGCTCTGTGAGGGTCATTGGGGTCCTGACCACTGAAGGACAGGGTAAAAGGGGGCTAACAAATATGCAAATAAGCAGAAGGACTACATTCTGTAATTGTAGAACTACAAAGTGCACCTATATAGTAAGTGGAGCTGATAAAATCAACAATGAGCGTAGAAACAAGGAGGTGGTCATAATCTGATGCCTGATCGGTGTATATACATATACATACATACATACATACATACATACATATATATACACACATATACATATATATACACACATACATATATACACACATATATATATATATATACACACATACATACATACATATACACACACACACACACACACACACGCAAAGTTTGTGTGTCCCGGTCAAATTACAAGTTGTTGATTTTCTTTTTTTAAAATATAAGGCTTTAAGTGCTTCCTCTGTAGAGGATATGTTAATTTTTTCTACAATCTACAAAACATGCCATTTGTCTTTTGCCTAATTTATAAAGGAAATGAATGTGCTCCTCCCCATACAATACCAGAGACTGAAATATAAACAGACAGCACTCAACCATCAAACTCTTATTTTCTTTCTTTAATGGCCAAAATGCTCACAATCTGCACTAAGCCTTCCTCTGCTTAGCAAGGAAAATATATGCTGTTGTACTCTGAAGTAGTATTTTGAGTTTGAGATCCGAATCCACCAATAAAACATCTTGTCTATTTCAGAACAAAACTGTATTTAATCAAAATAGCCACAAATGTTAACAAGACCTTGACAAGAAATGTTTCATAAATCTAGTAATACATCACAATTCTAGGTCTGGATTCAATATCAAGTTATTAAGACCTCAGCAGAGTTCTCATTCCATAGGCTCTGTTGAAATGCACAAAGTGATGAAATTACTCGTCATTTGAATGCCTAACGATACCAAAGGGAATTTAATAGCGTCATTAAGGTTTCTCCTTCAGCTGCATCTGCTGGTCTCTGCCAGCCAAAAATCTAGGAGAACTGCCAATCACTAAGCCTCGGCAAGATGCAAGGCAATGCGCCATCACATCACTCTATTGAGCAACAGTTGTTTTGCAGCAGATAATCGACCTCACTTATGACCAATAATAAAAGACAAAGCAAAAGCTGTCTAAAAATGTACCCCTCATCTAATCAATCTGTGTAAAGGTTTGTGTTGTACACTTGGATGTTTTTTTAACTACAATGTTATTGTTTATTTATGATTATCCTTATTTAAAATCTATGTTTTCTAATTTCTACTCTCCTTTAATTTGCTTTTCAAATTATAATTTCAGTTATGTTTGTATTTAATCATTTGTAAAGCATCTTGAATGACCTCACTGTATGAAAGGTGCTATTTAAATAAACTTGCCCTGCCTTTGTTTGTATTATGTGTCCTGCACTTTTAATAATACTTCAAGATTTATAGACATTATGTAACCAAAGTAAAACAGAACACTTTCAATAATTTTGTGATTAAATACCAAAATATCGTGTTCCTCTAAAGACTCACTAGATGCTAGAGCAAACCTTTAAACTAAAGCTGTTATGGTCCAAGTAGCCACTAAATTATTTTTCCCATGTTGATAACTTTACAATTATCAGAACTGTTTGTTTAGTACCGACTTATTATAACTAATTTTAAGTTATTAAAAATAGTATTGAACTTGTATTGTTTTTATACTGTACTGTTTTACACTGTACTGTTTACTATACTGTCTTGTTATATTATAGATTCATGGTAGCAGATTTGAATCGAATTTAATTTAATAAACTTTATTTGTCCCTGAGGGACAATTCGTAACTGGGTATATAAAGATATGACACATATGACACATGATATGAGACATAAGACAGAGACATCAACAGACAACTAAGAACAGACATCTTCATAAATAAGGAAAATAAATAAAATACATAGTAATCACATAGCTCGTTGATGATCAGTGAATGATCATTAACACGATGGCCTCAGGAACAATGACATTCTCAGGGCAGCGATAATGGCAACCAGCGAGGGGCGGCAACCCAAAGACAGAGTGAAGGACATGTGAAGAACAGAATAGCCTTTTTTAGAGTCTGTTGTTTATGTAATAAAGCCTCAATGGAAAACCAAACAGATTTCAGGGTCTGCAAACGGTTCTTATTTTTTACACTTAAAGAGTGAAACCAGCAAATAAAAGAACATTTATAACCCAGTTATTTTAGCTCAAATTTTAGCTTCTCATCAAAAATTGTACCCACATACTTGTAAGTACTCAGTCTCTCAACAGCCTATCCACTGATGTCAGTTTTTAAGGGTTACAACTCAGGTCATCTCCATGGTTTTAAGATACTGTACTGCTCTGCCAATGTGGAAGGCTAGCCCTGCCTTACAATAAGAGTCTCTGTAGTAAAACCCCAGCAAACAAATGGTAGAATAACTACCCTAAAACTAACAGGACTAAACATTTCCCAAACACTTGGTGGTATTCAGAGTTAAAAAGGTACACTAATTAACCCTCTAGGTCCATGAGCCCGCCCGTGCATCAAATTTGATGCGTCTATATACGTTCCTCTGTCTTTATAATACAGCATAGAAACACAGTTCAAATATTTCCTGAATCTGTAGATTCTGCCCTTTCCCTTTCATCTTATTGTGAGATTGTATGTGACTCACATCCAGAGTTGGATCACACCATGTGTAACTGGTGGATTTGTGTATCTGTCTACATTTTGTGTGAAACGGACCAATGGACACTCAAGAAATCACTAAAGACTTACCCATCACGTCAGAGACCCTTCATTCTTCACTCAGTTGACCTCAGAGATACATGTGAAATGGCGTGCAAAGGTTTACAGCCGCTGAAGCTGCTACAGCGGGTTTGGAAAGGAATGATGACGCTATATAGAGCATTTTCATATGAAACCTATGGGTATCATGTTATATGAAAGTGCCTTTAAAGGCAAATTTAAGAAGATATGAAAAAAAAAGAGGAAATGCCCTTAGACCCCACAGCATTAATACATTTTTAGACAAAGTGCAATCAATACATCTTTTCTATTTTCAGATTTTTTTGTTTTTAAAGCCATGTGCTTGTTTTTAAGGAAGTGGATTAGACATAATTAAAAAGCTTACACCCTGAAAGTTTAAAAGAAAAACATGCGAACCTCAGAGGCACAAACTGCATGCAGTTAATGTCAACAATCCAAACGTGACGCCCAGAAAGTCTGAATACAGATATGGGATGCTAAACTATTCCCACATATTACTGACATAAATATTCAACTTAAGTGGCTGATTAAGATCACTCTGAATAAGGCCCACTGTGATTGGTTACAGGGCTTCTTTGCATATTGCAGCCTTTTACGATACTGAAAAAAATATATATACTATATATTTTATAGTGTGAAATATTTCAGATTACCACAGTATAAGCCTTAAAGTAGTCTAGGTATAACTTTAAATCTAGGGAACAATGGCCACCCACGATATGAAGGCTGTCCCCTAAGTATCATTTCCTGAGTCTTAAGGACTCTTAAAGTGGAGGAAGCCTATCAATCAGTCACTTAATCACTTCCCAAGTGCTACCCTTTGCCTTAGCCTGCTTTACTGCACCTACTTTTAAATTTAATTCATTCTTTCAGACGCTCACATTCTTACTACCACACCAACGTGAAAGAAGGAAACAAGCTAGATCAAGTGTCAGCGCTTTCTGTATGGTGACTTATTCCAGTTACTCAACTAATATCAAATAAACTGCCAATTACATCATGTGTAATGCTCCTCACCATCAGTTGTGTCCTCACATCGCCGGTTAAAGTTTTCATATGAATCCCAGCGAATAAGAGGGTCCTGGGTGTTGTAGTCTACAGATACACTGGGGCCGTTCTCTAGGTGATCCAGCCCTGAGGGTGAGAAGAGAGTTATAAAATAACTGAAATAACTTCTTATATTTGCCTTTTTTCTGTGATTCCACAACCTTCCTGTCTCCTTCCCAGTCCTCTTACATCTTTTACCTATTTCTCAGTCACTCAAGGGATGTTTATAAATAACAACATGTCAGGAACCACATAGGCAAGTCTATCTGAGATCACTTAACAACTCAACACAGTTCAAGGCAAGAATGCAACCATTTACACAGTGCAGTGCAGTGTAAAAAAAACTATAGAAACAAACTTTGGACACCAAACATGCCTGGACTACATTTAAGATAAAGAGACAATTGTGTAAACTTGATTATCTTCCTCTTGTAATGGATCATATTCTACATTTTTCTTGTATTTAAGATATATCATCACTGTCCATATGAAACAATCTCCAATGTTTTGTCAATTTTAATTTGTTTACATTATTTGAACATGATGGCTCTTCTTTACATTAGATAGAAACTTCACAATGATTGGACCAATACAAATGCTTCAAAATCACTTGAAATAAAACCTCTTTATATTAACTTACATTTAAAGCTCAGAACATTTTTACCCTCTCCTGCGAAGCCAGTATTTTGGGAATATATTGTCTTTGGACAGCAACAATGTGTAAAAGTGGCCTCTGTTCTGACTGGCTAAGTTGTGTTCTCCTTAGTTCAAAAAGCAGTCAGGCTGAAATGTGGACTGAAACTCCCAGGGATGATGGAAAAAAAATAAACATTAGAAATTTCTTTTGGATGTCAGAATCCTTTGGATGGTTGCAGTGATACATTTGCTCCTGACAGCCAGGAACACAACAGCATTTAACTCGTTTCCATCCCACTCTAATAACTCTTCTATAGATTTTCTGTCATATAAACACTCTTTAAAACTGTCAGATGTATGGGTGGTCTAATGTCACTGCGTTCATGGCTTTGACATCACAACCATGGTGCGTTCAAAAAAGGTCATATTTACAGCTTAGTTTCCAAACATGAACTGGATAGACTGAGGAGAGAAACGTAGGTTTTAAAGGGCCCATGTCATGAATTTTTAATTTTCTTCACTTTTTTGAAAAAGAAGAGTTTAATGCACTACAAAAACTTCACTCACCAGTACATTCAGTCCATTTGAACTCACTGTTTTTGTGATGTCATGAAAATCAGCGCATTTACATACATCCATCTATTCAGACTACACCAGTTTAGCCTTGTCCATTCACACTGAATCCATAAACTGTGTTTCAGTCTTTACTGCTTTTTAACTGAGGCACAACACAAGGCATTAGAGCTACATATGTCAGTTTTAAAGGCACAGCCAAACGGTTAAAAAGTTCGAAAATGGTCATGTAAAAACAAATTACGACTGTGTTTCGAACATAATATCACAAATGTAATAAGTGGATCACAAGGGACCACAAGAAAATACAGGATATGGGTCATTTTAAACTTTAACAATGACTCTGAACACTGGTTGATGATACCCAACGTGTTATGCTGGCACCATGAGCTTACCTCTGATCTTCTCTGGGCCAAAAGAGAAGATAAACTCCACTTTCCCATCCTGAGGATATCGGTCATCTGTGGAAACAGATTTTCATGGTTAATCTTACTAACAGTCTAACTATGCTGTGGTGACTCATGTGGTGCGGTGACTATCTGTCGGTTTCACTACAGAATGTGTTGGTTTTGTAACAGGAGAAGGCTAAGAACAGAGGAACCTCTGAAGGTCTCATCCAGGTCGTTCTTGGTGAAGACCAACCCTAAATCATGCACAGCACACGTGTGGAACTGAACTCTGAAGATCACGTCCCGACTGGGGTTCCGATAACGTTTGTGGTAGCACTTCAACTGCAGGATAGATGGAACAGATAGAGAATGGAAGAAGTTACATTGGCATTTTAAAAACAGGGAAATCTTTTAAGGCAATCCGTATAATTACAAGGGCTTGGGTTCAAAGGGTTTTTCTTAGTAATATAAAAGTGTTGACATGATAGATGTCATAATGTTTGATGTCACGACACCGTATGTCGCACGCTAACTAGTGTACTCTAGTTCATGGCAGATACTGATAATGGGGGGTAAAGGGGGCTGAATGGCTCTATTTGCTGAGGGACGTGACTTTCCATAATACGGCCTCCACATTGAGTGTTACAAGCTATGCTGTTCACTTTTCAACTAGTGAACTGTCTCCTCCTCCTTTATAATATCGCTGATGTTAGCCCAAGTGACAGACCACGCAGTTTGAATATCCCTGGTCAAATTACATGTTTTGTTAATTTTCTGTGAAATTAAGTTAATACATCCTATTCAGTGAACAAACTTAAATACAACACACCTAAATACAAGAGTGCACAATTTCTATTTATTTGCTGTGTTTAACCTATTAGAAAAAAGAAGGATAAAATGTCCTTAAGTCTATGAAAAACAATCAGTCCAAACTTTTGACTGGTACCACATCTGTAAAACATTTCTTTTTACCAGTATATCTCCTTTTAGAAGCAGGCCTGGTTCAATGGTGATGCAGATGCTTGTATGACTGTCCCCTTGAACGTTACTACGAAAACAGAGAGAGAGAATTGTCTATCAGAGTCAGAAGCAGTCGGCTATAAAGGGGCCACTTAATGTCTGAATGTGTGTTCTAGCCTGCAGGCACTATGAAAAGGCGAATAAATGACCACCATGCGCTAAACTCAACAAATGAACCTGAATATGAAAATTTAACCACTCATTATATATTCATTATATTCATCCAAGCCCAATGGCTTTGCAAAATTATATGTCAAAGGGGCCTATAAAACTCAAGTGGACTTTTGTGCTAGAGGATAACAATGATGAAGTGAATCATGAGAGAGCACTGGAGGAAGAGCAGCGGAACGAAGAGGCAATCCGTAATTTCCGTGCCGCTTTATTTCGGTCAGTGACAGAGATGACAGGGTATCCCATCGCTCATGGAAAAAAGAGGTCAGCAGCCACGACCCTGTCACTGTTACTGCCAAAAGATGTGCAGATTTACACGCTAATCCCTTAACAAGAGTTCAGCAGAGGAAGTATGCACCATATACATAAACATGCTGACTCATTTACCCCTTTAAACACTAGTCTTCTTATTCAGTCATTAGTTTCAAAACATTTTAGTCAGTAACTATTACACCATACTCAGTAACTGCTATGAAACTCCCCTAGATTATTTTTCAGGCCAGGCTGTAGACCCTCTGAAGCTACCAGAGTAGATGTGTTACTATGCTTGCGTAGAAGTTTTAGATTCATATATATTTGTAGTCAGTTAATTTGTATTAGAAGAATTCATGTGTAACTATTTGCCTTGTATTTCTTACTGGGCCAAAGAACAATTTTCTACAGAAATGTATTACAGTAATATTATTAGCTCCTTAAACCAACATTAAATACTGTTTGGACCATGAGGCTAAAAGTAGATCTGCTTGTGATTATTAGGGCTTGAAATATGCTGGGAAAAAAGTGGATTGCCTACATTATTAATCTACAAACATCCAACCTTTAATTTTGGAAAGCAGAAGGATGCATTTCACTAAAAGAAATCGAAGAAAACTACAGGAAACAGATTTGGGACAGCAGGGTGCTAGCTAAATTACTGTTACTGAGTGCTGGTTGGTTGGTGAGCTGATCAGCTCATTGGCTGGGTAAAGCTGTTCACACTCACTGGCATTAGAAAGTTCTCAAATTTGAGCTCAAAACCACTCAATAATATGATAGTAGTGTTGAAATATTATATGCTGTATGTATTGGTGCACTTTTCTACACAAAATGATTAAGCATGACTAACAAAGCTGTGATTTTGCACAAAAGCTCCACAGGAACCTATTCATTTTGGACTAGAGAGCACCCTTTAACATTTAACAAACCCAGAAGACGTATTCTTGTCTCCTCAATACACATTCTCTCCTTTCCCATAATTTATTTCCTGTCATTGAACACCATATTTCAATTAATTGATCCCAATCTGATATTTCAGTTTGCAAAAAAATTCAGTGATTAAAGCCCCACATGGTGGCTGTCCTTTACATTGTGTGAAAATTTCATCATAAATGGACCAATAGAAATGCTCTTAAATTACTTGGAATAAAAATCCTCACAGTGACTTACATTAAAAGTAAAGAACGTTTCGCCCTCTCCTGTAAAGTTACCATGTTGGAGATACTTGGTTTTTTTGGACAGCGACAAAATATAAATATATAAGAAAACAGAGAACTTACTATATACCAGATGTGTATACCGGCTGCATTGCCTGGTAGATCTTGAGGAATGGTCTGCAACCTAGAACAGTGTGTACAAACTGTTTACAAGTTTAATATAAAAACAGTTGACTAGTTATGTGTTTTAATGTTTGGCAATATGGCTATTCAACAGCAACTCACACAGGGCCAAGCAATTAAAGTCATGGAATGCTATGAAAAAAATGCAAAAACCTCAACTACGCAAAATTTCCAAACGACGCTCCAAATATTTTTTTATGAATTTCATGAGTTATATATTTTAAGGTTTGCCCTCCAATATGCTAAATTGAAGCACTTTGACCTTTCTCCAAAGAAACTGATTGTGTCACGCCTGGTTTGGACTCTTCTAGTGTTATAGACTACATTTCCCAAGACACCTTGGGAAATCACGTGACGGCGGACTTCCCTGTAGAATCAGAGTCCCTCATGGACTCCATTACCCAGGAGTCAAGCGGGGATCAGTGACGATTAGTCTCTGAGCACCTATCAGCACTCTCGGTCACCAGAATACTGAATGGTTTCACCTGTGTGTTTATTTCATATGACCAGTTTAGTGTAGTATTTAAGCCCGGGCTTTAGAAAGGGTTATTTGTGAGGTATTGCTTCTTTATAGAACTTACTGAGCATTTATTCTGATCGCTATACTTTGTTGATGCAGATGTGCTATGACTCCTTCATGGCTTAATTGCTTTTTGAACATGATATAAAAATGTACCTGAAATATCAGGTATGTGGAACTCCATGATGCACCTGTCAGGCCCTCTATGAGTTGGCATGGAACAACCAATTAGCTAATTCTCCATATTTTTAACAATGCCTGCATATAAGAATGCCATTCTCACCTCCTTTAGACTCAAAGTTGGGAATGCCATGCATGATGACATGATGAAGGAACAAGGGCTTGTTGTTGATCTTTATATGGCCAGAGAGAAGTCCAGCAAAGTACTGCACATACCTGCATGGGAATGAAAGTCAAATGTTTGGTACTATATCCTATTAAACTCTTCGCTGCCCTTTACACTTTTCCTGATGCTCCCAGGGGTCCTTATTCTCCTTTGTTATCATATGGATGTCTTAGCTTGCTGAAATGGTTTGCATCTATTGCCTTTATGTTTTGTTTAAGTGCTGTCTGATGATATATGATTCTGTTAGCATAATCAAAAATAAGATGTCCCCAGCTATTTCCGCTTTTATTAGCCTCTTTCTGCAGGCCCCCTTGTGGCCATTCCACCTGCGGACGTGAAATACAATCACATAAAATATTTTGCCCCCGTAACTCTGTGATCAGATTAACTAGGACACTGTTGTCTCTCTGTGTGTGAAATGTTGTTGACTGTGTTGAGCTGCTAATGAGCACTGAGGGGTAAAAGACGAGGAGTGAGAACCTCCTGCTGTGAAAACAATTCACACCTCTCCACAAAGGCGCCTGTGCTGGAATAAAATGGCCAGGACTACAGAACTGCGGATTTTTTCATATTCATCATGTACAACTGACCCAATAACAAATAACACAATCACAATACATTTAAATAGTTTTCTAACTTTTGACTTGCCTGCTCACCTACAGAGATTAAACTCCAGTTCACTTCTGGATTTGTAAATCATACACATTTCCATCTAAATATATTTCAACGTTATTGAAGAAAAAAGATGCATGGGGCACAATTCAGGAACCTCCAAAACAGGTGGAAATGCATTGTTAAAAGGGTTAAATGGGCCGCTGCCTGCTCCGCCCAGCGTCTCTAAACTATCACAGCTACAGCCATGTACAGATGACAGCAGGCTGTCAAAATGGCTCTACCAAGATACTAAAATGTTAAAATCTTTACATTGTATATGCCACACATGGTGAGCAACATGTTAAATCATCTCCAGGAATTAAAACACGGTGTGTTTACGTGCGTTAATGATCCAATAACTGCAAAAGTGCACTTGGGTAATCACATGAGAAAACTCCAGGTCTATGAGTAAGACAATAATCAGGTTTCTGATTTGCAACCTGCCAATAAACTTAGAGAAAGGAGGACACAATGTAAAATTGCAACTTCATGCTGCTCTTTGAGTCACTTTACCAGCAAATATGAATCTACATCTTCTAAAACACAAGGAACATTAAAATCAAGCAAGTATTTGCTTTCAGCTTCGCTCCAAAGTGTTTTATTGCCATTTCATGGGGGCTGTGTTGAATGCTGGGATCTGCTCTAATTGAGCACATGTGCAGACTAAGAAAAACAAAAGAAATCAGAGTAAGGGTATACATGTGCTGAAAAACACAATTACTGGGCTAAAATTCAGGTCTCTTCATTGGATTTCATAAAATCCAATCATGACCTTAATCCAATCTAAAAAAATCGGAGTATACTGTTTACATGAGCACTTGAATAATCAGACAACTATTACTGGTAAACGCACTCTGCTTAATTTGCATTTTCTTTTGCTGACTTTTCATAAATTCACAAATTTGCATAATGTTTGAATGGAAACCCAGTTATAGAATGTATTACATTTGCTACAACAAAGATGGTTCAAGATTAATGAAGCTTTCTGAAACACCATAAAAAACATATTTCTTAGCTCACTACAGACTACTGTTTCTCTCTCTCTCTCTCTCTCTCTCTCTCTCTCTCAGTGTTAATGTCAGACATGCCTCTGCTTATAACCTCAGACTGCTGGGCACTGACTGCTGGTTAAATTTACCCCCACAGCAGGAAATAGTCGCTGAGGGCAGGACAGGGGAGATCTGAGGCGAGGAAGGGCAAATGGTGGCTCTGTGGGGCTTCTTGGTCAGTTACAAAAACCTTTTTCCTTCTTTAACAATATCTTTGCATGTTTTCAACCCTCGTCCTGGAGCATACCTTCACCTGCACATTTGAGTTGTTTTCTTGCTTGTTTGTAACTTGCTTGTTTCAGTGTCAAAACTGTCAAAAATATAAAAAATATTGTAAAATATGCAGGACATATTTTTTTTTCTTTCTGCAAAATAAGAGTGCATTCGCAACTTTAATTAAATGAAAGTTTCTGAATTTCACTGAAATGATAAAAAAAAAAAATTATTGATTGAAAGGTTTAAATCTGCAGCCTGTACAGATTCATGTAACATAATTTGACCGGAAGTGTTCCATGCTGGAAATTATGTATTCTGAAAAAGTGATGTATTCTGAAAAGCATATTTTTTCAAACGGTAGTGCTGATTTGAGGACAGGAAGGGGTCAACTTAAAGAGGAGAGAAGGTCAGGGGAAAGAGTAGTCATGTGGTACAGCGGTGTGAGCGGTGAGTTTGACCTCAGGGTTGAGGGTGTAAAAGCGGTGTGGATGGTCTGAGGAGGAGGAGGGTGAAGAGGAGAAGAAGGTGCTGCACTGACCTCCTCTGAGACGGCTGGCCCACAGGCATGGCTTTATCCTCATAAAAACGCTTCATAGCAAACCTGTCCAGAGCCTGGTCCGCACTGCAAACACATCAGACACGGCACTCTCATAAAAACCAAAAGCAGCTGCCTAGAGCCATATGCCAACAGAGACACCAGACTCAGACTTCTAAATAGCATCCAAAAGTTCCACATAAATGAAATATATTACATAAACATAATTATTTCCAAAAATAAAGTAAACTGAAATACAAAGCTAAATTGAAACTGTGTTTTATTAAACTAGTAATGATATATATACATTTGAATAAATACAATGCATTAACAATGCACTTAATTTGTAACTGATGTGACTGCTAAAGGTTTTAAACAACAAGCAAAACACTACTGCTAAATACGCACATTTACTATTAAATTTACCAACTCAGAATTCCCTTTTGGAGTTGGCATAGTGTCAATTATTCAGCTACCACTGTACCTGGCAGATATGTTGCTGTAGTGCATATAGGCAGCCACAACCACCCCAGTTCTCCCACGGTTTCCCTGGAAAAGGACGGCAAATTAGAAAAGGATTGGAAGGCAAGAGGATAGGAGAAAATTTTGAAGAACTACAATTCATTTACGGTGGATTTTTGGGCTGTTTGATTTTTTTTCCACTGCACACATAAAACAAATGGTTCTTCAAGGGTTCTTTAGTAAAGAAAATAGTTCAATATAGAACCATGAACTCCTTGCACGATTAAACTGTTCTTAACATTGTCAAAAGGGTTCTTCAGATTGATGGAGAATGTGCTATAAATGGCTCTATACAGAACCTTTTGAAAAGGGTTCTATATTGCACCAAAAAGGGATCTGCTGTTGTTGTGATGTCAAACTTGTAACTAGGGGTGGGAATCTTTAGGCACCTCACGATTCGATTCCGATTCAGAGGGCTGCGATGTGATTATAAAACGATTTTCGATGCATCTCGATGCATCTTTTTTCCTCTATACAGGATTTCTATCTTCCTACTGTCTGAGGACTTGGTAGTTTCAAAGCAAAGTATTTGTAATGATCCATAATGTAAATGCATTATGGATCATTACAAATACTTTGCTTTAAATATCTAAAATATCTTTTATTAATAAATCAAATGGAAGTGATGTGGCAAGTGAACTAGAAGGCTCTCATTCAGAGACGCTGCTGCCACTCATCTGCGATAAAATGCACTGTTACCCTGAAATAAGATCCAGTGGTAATGGGTGTCCACGCAGCGAGTTACAGCCATCCTTCCCGTTTTCTTTAGTGATCTTATAACTTCGGTATTTTCGAGACTGGACGCTGAATCTCGGCTCCAAAGTGTGCAGCATAGCGCGAAAGCGCTGGTTCTCAACGACTGAGAACAGACAGGTCACACAGCACCGTGGTCTGGCCTCGCCAGTAGCGAACGAAAAAACAGAGATTAAGACGAACATTTGGAGGACTTATTCGCATTTATAAGCAGCGCGGTTGGTTAAATCTGCAACGAGAGTTAAAAAAAAGTTGCAAAAATGAACTCGCTTCTCTTCCGCACTTTCAAGCTCCGCCTTTTGCGTTCCGCCAACATTACGTTATAAGTTACATATTTAGAAAATAGACTTTTGACGTTTGTGAATCGATTCAGAATCGTCCACGTCCGCATCGCGATGCATCTAAGAATCGAGTTTTTCCCGCACCCCTACTTGTAACAATAGAAGAAGCCTACTGGTGTTATTGTAACCATTCAGCAGAATCCAGACGCGTGCGGATAAAACTGACAAGATGGGTTTTATTAACACTAGGCAAAAACGTAGTCAAAACACAGGCGTGGGTCAAAACCAAGAAGTGCAAAAAGATCACAAAAGTGATCATATCCCGAGGCAAACAAAACAATAGGGCAAGACAAAAGACGAGGTCAAAAAAGCAGGCAAAAATAGTCAAAACACAGATCCAAAATACCAGGCAGCAATACAAAAGGGAACAGGCAAAAGGCAGAGTCAAAAAGTAAGCAAAGGTCAAAAACAGAATAATGCAATCCAAAATAACAATCAGTATGTTCACAGGGAAGCAATACCTCACACTGATACTAGCTAAAGCCCGGGCTTAAATACTGCTCTAGCTAAACACATGATTTAGGCACACAGGTTGCTCCAGTTAGTACTCAGGAGACTGAGATCTCTGACAGGTGTGTGGGACTGTGTCAGGAGTCACATGACCCCCTTGTGTCTCTTGGGTAATGGAGTCCACATCGGACTCCGATTCCGAAGGGAAGTTCCTAGTCACGTGATCTCTCAAGGGAGCTTGGGAAATGAAGTCCATTTCAGTCTGTGAGTTCGTACAAGAGGTGACAGTTATACGGAACCCTTTTCAAAAAGGTTTTATATAGAATCGTCTATAACACATTCTCCATCAATGTGAACAATGCTTTCACAAGGCAAGAACGCTTTAATCATGCAAAGAGTTATTTTGTTGTTCATGGTTCATATAGAACCATTTTCTTTACTAAAGAACCCTTGAAGAACCATTGTTTATAAGTGTGTGGCTAATGCAGAAAGAAGTCAGAGAGTATTCCTACATTACTGCTAAGAAGCTGAATATTGCACTAATTTTCATTAGCCTCTACATCAGCAGTACATCAGTGGATTTCTTTATCACCATGGGGGGATTCCCAATGATTGTATGACATGTCTGCTTAAGGCATGCTGGGTTTTGTAGTGATTGAGGCAAGAAAACAAAGTTGTGAATTCTGTCAAACTGATGAGGCTGAGGGAAGCAATGGTGCACTACAGAATATTACAAAACATAACAGATAATATACTGAATGCTAGTTCTAGAATGATCTCAAACAGACTTGCTTATGTGTATTTATGATGTATCACATTCTATCTATAAAAAGGGACACAAGAATGGACAAAATTCAGGATTCAGTGTGGCTACTACTACAGTTTTTCAAATTTAATTTTTGCCAAACTATCGGTTTAATCAGCTGGAACATCCTGAGTGGACATTGTTAACTCTCTTCCCTCTTTTGCACCCATCCTTCTGTTTAAACTCCCATCTGCTTTACTAGAAGCTTAAATGTCCTCAGCATAGAGAAAAATGCATCTCCATGCAGTTGCCATGGTAACCCAGTGTTTGCTGCGTGGACTGTTGTAAAGGACTCTTTATTTGCACTGTGCTAGAGCCCACAGCCACAGACTGATCCGGTTGCTTTTCAAAGCGGAGAGCTCTTCAGAGCTGCTTTAGCTTTCAAGGATGGATGGAACAGGAGCTGCTCGCCTTCACTGACTCAGAGTGATTTCACTGTTGTCCTTGGCACAGACCAACCAACATCAGCCTAAAGTGAACAGGATGTTATGCAGATGTTTTGCGGGCCGAAAGAGGGAGCCAGTGCTATGTGGGTATGTTGAGACAGTCCACATGCCATTTTTCCTGAGCTGGAAGACCTACTGATGTGAGAATAATGCTAAACTGAGATTTGGAGTAAATGAAAGCAATCAGAACAAACCAACCTAATCATGCCCACAAGAACTCTCTTCATAAAAAGAAAGAGAGAGGCAGAGTAAAGAACTGCTACCTTTCATGAATTCTGAACAACATTAGAGTGCCCTCTACTGTTTAAAACTATCACAGAGGATGATGAGTAAAATTCTACCAACAGATTTCCAAACATATGTTGCAGAGATTACAAGTTAAAGCAATAAGGCATGAGAGGCCATAGTGATTTCATAGTTAAGACTTCAGGGCGTTTTTAAAGGAAGAATGAACAGTTTAACAGTGTAACATTGCTACATCTGTTGTAAACATGCTTCGTTGCATCCTACAGAAGCAACACAGTTGTCTCTACAGTAAAATTGTCAGGTTTAAAGGTTAGGAAAAAACCTTCTGATGATGTGTCCTGAAGGTGGAATTAACATTTGATAAACTACAACAGTTTTAGGTGGATTTTTGAACCAATTAACAGTACTTCTAGAAGAGCACAGTAACTGTTAAATCATCATTACAGTGGAGAGAATGGATAAAAAGGGTTAAAGTTAGCAAGGTAGTTGGCTATCTGGGCACCTTACCTCAGTTTGGCTTAATTTGTCTGGCTGAAAAGGTAAAAACTTGTCCTTTGTGTTGAATGAAGAGAGAATCACTGTTTTCTTTGAGATATTTTTCAAAGGCCAAGGTAAGAATTACATTCATTACACTAGTTACACTAACTAGTTCAACTAATAATAAGAACATTGGTTGTATTTATTACTAGTAGTGGCTAGCAGTGATTATTGGTTGACACCACAGGGATTTTCAATGGCTGCATGCTGGGTTTAGTAGTGAGAGAACATTTACATTTATGGACAAAAACATGAAAATTACATAAAATTGTGAATTTTGCCAAACCAATGAGGCTGCCTGATATGAGTCTGTGCTACAGAATTAAAAATATATAAAACTTTAGTTTTATTCCAGAATGCCTGTTACTGTCTCAGAGATAAGTTTCATTTAAATGTTTATTTTGTGTGTTGTGTAACATGAACAGAAAATGTGTCTAAAATATGTCACCTTTATTTCATGTTTAAATAAAAAATAGCACTCTTTATGTAATGGTTTATTTTAATCTAGAGTATAATTAAGTATAGTTAACAATAGAGTATTCAGTTAAGAATGAACTCTGTTAAGAGTTAAGAGCTTGAGTTAAGAGTTCATAACTGAAGCATTATGGGTCAGTACCTATATGGATGCTAACACCTAAATTGTCCCTTATTTGTTTATATTGTGTATAATGGTGTTGATGTGCCTTTGCATTGATGTTTTTAGTAATTTTATTTAATTTCCTTACATTTCTGTTATGCTAACATGTTTGGGCCTGTTTATCAATGGACACTAGCTTGAGGGACTTAAAAAGAGCTGAGAAATGTATATCTTGAACTTTATAAGTCTTCTATTTTCTTTTTAGTTTTCACAGTGTCTGCTGACAAAAAGAGAGAGAGAGAAATAAATCTTCGAAAGACATCTGTATAATGCATGGCTATTTTTTCATTGGACCAGTGTAGCTATAATGCCCAATTAAGCACAAAGCAAACAAATACAACATGATAATATACAGCAATGTTCAATAACAATAATTTATCATTCATAAAAATAATAAATAAGCAGTTCTTTGACCAAGTGATGTAGTTCATTATACCAGCACATTAATATCAAATTCATATGATGTGTGCAGTCATATGTGTGAATATCAAGTATTTGAAATAGTGGCATTTATGCTGCAGCCTAAAGTTAATTTGAAAGCAATCTACATTCCTCAAGTGTGAGAGGTGTGCACTGCATACAAGGGTGCTGGCATGCGGGAGTGTGCGTGAAGCACTGCATGGAACATATTGGTCACCTTGTTGTGCAACACCACCACATTATGGGGGTCAGCATTAAGCCATGTGTCCATAGCTTTGCAGATACTGCAGATTTTATCCAGCGCAGGAGCATGGTGGTCAGGCCAGCCGAAGTCCAGCACCTGTCATTAACACGCATTTACATACAAAATGAGGATCTACAGCATAAAGTTTGTACAGAATAATGAACATTATTAGCATGCACACATATACACTCACAGAAACTGTGTTTAGCGGTGGGTCAGCAGCCACAGCTGATGGGACAAGTACGTTACTTACTTTTGGGTTTAGTTTAGTGATGTCATGCCTCCGCTCGCTGAGGTTCAGCAGCTGAAATGAATACAAAAACACATTATAGTTGCATATTCTACTTCTGATCCCAGTCTGCTAATGCTCAGAATTGCTCTACATGCTTTCAAAGCTGGACACAAAAGTTTATTACTGATGGTGAATTGGAAGATTGTTGATGTCCACATTTGTGACATCATCCATCAGGGTGCTCCCATTCCAATCCTAAAGGGCTACACATTTGCTTTAGAAAAGATACATAATTATTGTACAGTGCTATGGCTGGGGCAGACTTTAAGGTAGGTGAAAAGTAAATGAATGCCTCAGGCCTCACAAAAATACAAATTAGATATATGCACTGATGTTAACTGACTCTTATTCGCTATTACAGTGATTACTTCAAGTCCTATCAATTGTTGGAAAGTGATTCAATTCCCCAAGGTCCAGACTGTAATGCACTATTCCATGTTGGTACACAAGGACACTGGACGGTGTGTTAAGTTGGGGTTACTGAAATTTTAAGCATATACATGAATAATGGTGTCTGGCAAAATGATTTTCCTTTTTTTTCTTTTTGTGAATTTATAGCAAACAGAATGTACCATAACATCCAATAAAATTGTGAGAGGCTACAATATACACTATATAAATAAGCTGAGAGGGCAAGTCAGATTTGTTAATCTCAATATTAAGTGAACTGAGCATTACAAGTTCACTTACAACCTATTCTAATTTATTATAATGATATTCCAAAAAGTAGGTGCCAATGCCAAAATTTCTAATTGAAAAAAAAGCTTGTTGTTTACTTTAATTGTCTAGATTCCAGCTTATCCCCTCACATGTGTGCATTCAGTGTATATTTAAACAGAATTCTGAATTATAATAACTAAAATAATCAAATGGGAGATCAGAAAAAACACCAGAGATACTTTATAGGTGGCCTGGCCACTTTCTGTTTCTCCCATTATATCAAAAACATGACCTTAAAACATCAGAGGACACCACTGAGTGAGTCCTAAATGAATGGGAGTGAAAGGAACTAAATGGCTAAGATAAAAAAAAAATTATACATGTTCCTAGCTTCCTTCTAGCCCTCTAGTGTCTGACCAACCTGGAAGACATTACTGAGTGGCAGTTCTCCGCTTCAGAAATTCATTGTATTTACACCCCTAGTGTATCCAGATAATCTTGCTGAATGCTCTGCTCAACATCGCCCCTGTGTAGTGTGGAGGCTCCTCACCAGGTAGTGCTGCTGGTGTTTAGAACGCAGCATGCTGATGACCTCGCGCAGGTGCACACTGTAGCTGTGCTCCTCCACCCCGCCAGAGAAGGACAGGGAGATGATGCGCTCGGTGATGTAGACCAGGTCCACCTCATAACTTTCCTCCATGGCCTGTATCAGGCTCAGGCTCCTGCCATATACACACACACATACACTCTTCTGTGGCAAGCATGAAAGAGACAGTTTCCCAAACTGACCTTTCAATCCTAGATTGAAAGATTTTCACACGAAGTCAATGGGTCAGAATCTCAAAAAGTAATTACTAAAACCACAGGGGAAGCCTTCTAAGCCTTCAGAGAAGGCCTAATGATTTCTGGGAACTAAAATATATATATACACATGTTTAGTTCATTCATCATGCTTGTGTTTGAACTCTGCAAGTATTACAGTACCACTTGTGTTTCATTTTGATGATTTGGATGGGAACAAAAGGGTTCAATTCTTGATAAATATCCAGTGGAAAATTGGAAAATCAGGAATTGTTTTTCTCTGTGGTGTCTGGGAAGATATAGCTAAGCGAGCTCTCCTATTGTTTAGGACTTCAATATCTGATGTGAAATCCTAATACCTTAAATTCCCCTCCAGCATAATTACAAATTGGCAGAGGAATCTACCGATCACATTTAGATTTACAATGGGTGGGACCTTCTGGAAGTCCTTGACACATCAATGACTGCGATTACAAGCAGCAGCCTAATCAATGTGTTGTTAGAAATGTAAAACAGTGGTGGCGGCAGCTCTGTACTGCAGCTCTCAAAAGAGTTACATGAAATGTTTTTTTTGTTTTTTTTTGTTTTTTTAGAAGCTTCAAATGTCTGTGTGTCACGCCTCACGCTGATTCGGACTGCATTTCCCAGAATGCGTCGGGAGATCACATGTGTGAGCAACTTCCTTCGGACTCGGAGTCCAGAATGAACTCCGTTGCCCACAATCCCTCGGGAGGTCACATGACTTTGAACAATCGCTCACGCACCTATGAGCATTCGCAATCCGCTATATACTGATATCTTTCACCTGTGTTTGTTGTCATATGACTCATTCAGTTTAGTATTTAAGCCCGGGCTTTAGTCATAGTCATTGCGAGGTATTGCTTCTTTTGGAACATGCTGAGCGTTTCTTGATCTGTTTGTTACTACCTGTTATGACCATTTCTTTGTTTATCTGACCTTGTCTTTTGCTTATCCCTTTTGTACCTTTGCCAGCTTGTTTTTGGACCTGCGTGTTTGACCATTTTTGCTTGTTTCTTCGACCACGATATCTGCTCATCCCTTTTGTTTTGGCTGCTTAGTGTTATGATCACTACAGTGATTCTCTGGTGTTTTTTGGCTACGACCCATGCTTGTTTTTTGACCACGCCTTTGCTGAACTGTAATAAAACCCTGTTTGCTTTTTTTATCCACGAGCATCTGAATTCTGTTGAACCGTCACACTGTGTTTAATTGAGAGAAGCCAAAACATTCATGTGAATCATCATTAGCACTAATAAACAACTGAAATATCATGGGACTGCTAGCAGAAATTAGCATTATTGTAGAGGTGGGAAGGCCAAGCTCTAAAAGTCCTGGTTCGCCACTGGCTAGAACTAACTAACTCGCTTATCATTCCTCTGATAACAAAACCTTTTATCTCTGAAATGGCACCTTTATAAGAGAATGAGGAACATTCATTTTAATGTCCATTAAAATAACAAGACTTTATTCCAAGTGATTTTGTGAATTTTGGACTATTTCTATTAGTCCACCCAACATCAAATTTATATCACTGTTGTTGGAAGAAAACTCTCCAAAATGGTAACTTTACAGGAGAAGGAAAAAACCTACTTAACTTTTAATGTAAGTTAATGGAACCAGACTTTTTTCCAAGTCATTTTGGGCCATTTTATGGTCCATTCTTCATGAAATTGACACAAAATATAAAGGACAACAGGCATTTTCAAATTGTCAAAAACCTAAAAACAACAAAAATGGAGATACAAGGTTTTCTTCCAACAGCATAAATATCAATAAAACCAAACCATTTTTTTTCATTCTGCCTGTCTCATGCACCACAACCCAAAGTAATGCACTTGGCTTAATGTAATGTCATGAAATTAGGCAAACTGATAAACAGACGACAGATTTACTAGTACAATCTATTCGTTTTTGTTTGAAATCACCTCCACAAACAATGAAAACTCTCTTCTGAATTATGGTGAATCCCATGACAGAACATCAAATCAATTGCTTAAAAACCCTTTAAAAACTGACTGAAAATGTAAAATGTCAAGCCATGAAGTATGAACTGCACATAGATATGTGTCAGACATCAATTAAACTCTTTGAAATGACAATTTCAGGTAATATAAGATACGTTCAAGGTAAAAAAAAAAAAAAACATGACAGTTCTACCTAGATGGCCTTCTTCTGGAGTCTGTGCTCTTGAAGGACTTCATGGATCCCTGTTAAGAAAAAGCACATGTTCACAAAAAACACACTGATACCATTTTGAGCAGACTTTTTTTTGTCTATTTAAGTATCATATGATAAACGACACTGAATACATGTTTGTGCATCTACAATACTGAGTGAAAGTCAGGCCAACCTTCCTTTATTTAACTTCCAGTAAAAATAGTCTTTAAAAAAAGAAAAAAACATCTATTTAACAGAAAATTACACAGAAGCCACAACAACTAAATATACCATCAAATCTTCCAGCATTTAATGTGTTCATCCTTTGTTGTTATTTCATTCTTTTAGGAAAACTTTTAGTTTTTTAGACAAGGAGTTTGTTGCTCCTTTCTTCTCCAAGTAAACTCAGTCAGGGTGGATAACCCATTGTTCTGAGCTTCTTTCTTTGATTTGCAAAATTTCTTCTTTTTTAGTCTATTTCCTTTTCTCAGTAATGCCCTTTTGTCATCTACACATCCATTCAGACTTACAGTGCTGAGTTGTCTTCTCACAGTGGAAGAATGGACAGAAACACCAGTGGATTTTCAGGTCTACAGAATACAGCTTGATTTTTTCCTGTCACTAAAAGATGAAAGTTTAAGGACTCTTCATCTAATGGTGGGAGTTTTCGTGGTCTGTCAGGTTTTGCATGCTTGTTATTAGTCCCATTTTCTCTGTATCTTTAAATAATTTTATTTTCTTAGGGGATTATTTTATATCAAATCTCCTCAGAAATCTCTCCTGATAAACATCATTTGTATTTAGTGGCCATTTTGACTAACAAAAAACCCCCAGAAAATTGCCCCAGGGGCAATCTCTGACTTTTGCACAGTACTGTATATTTGGGATAGGCAATTTCAGTCATGGAGGGAGTCCAGCGGTTCAGTCTGGGGATTCTCCTGCTTTAACACACCTACTAAACACGGTAACTGACTGACGAGGTTTATCACCAAACTTCAGCCCTCCATGATCAGAGTTTCCCACTCAGATGAGTATGATAAGTACACACTATGTATACAATCACTGGTCGCTTTATTAGAAACCGCTGCTTCACTGGTCCACCTCACTGGTTTATAATAGACCTCTGAAGTCATGCATCATTCTGTAATTGGCATCACGCCCATGTTAATAACTTCAGGTCTAAGCTGTATTTCTCTACAACAAGAATAAATGGGATTTTGGAAAATCACTGCTATTACACTCTGCGGTACACAAAAAGACTCCAAACCTGAGCTTAGGATCTTAAGCTATACATCTCCAGATGTTCGCCTGGGTCAAACCAAGCAAAGCAAACCTTCGTCATGGCAAACAAGACAGTGAACTAGAGATAAAAAGGCATTGTCACTTCCATGGGTCTGGTATACAGTTTCCATCAAACAGGGCTCACAAATTAAATTACACCGGAAGAAGGTCCAAGTTCTTCATGTTCTCTAAAGTGGGTTTTCCACTTATTTCAACTCAAATATAAAAACAGAGGTAAAGAATGTTGTAGACATGAAAAGCTATTTTAAATGTTCTGTGAAAAACAGAGACTTGCTTTAAGCCTCAAAGTTTTAGCACATGATAAAAAACGGGTCAAAACCAGGACATCCATTATATAGCACAATAAACTGAATCAATGTAGTTTTTAGTATTTTCTGAATATTTTCAATGTTTCACAGTTTCAATATATTGCAATTCATATGTATTTCTTGTTTGATATTCTATAATTCTTAATATTATTTGGTAACCTAAGTTTAATCATGCAAATATACAGTATACAGTAGCAGCAAAAGTCAGAGACCATCCTTATTCATTTTTCAGCATCAAAAAAAGCAGAAAGTATATACTGCTATTGTGTTCACTCTTTGCCCTTATTAAAACTTCCATTCTTTTCAGGCGACTCACTTTCAGTTTTTCAAAGAAAACTACAGGGATATTTTCCACACCGCCAAAGTTCAGTCTTAATAGTTGGGTGCATTTTCTGCTTCTCATGATCCAAGCAATCCCAAACACATTCAGTGATGTTGAGCTCTGGTCTCTGGGATGGTCATTTCTGAGAACACCAACAGCTTCTTGTTTTGATTTACAAATTTTCCTCTTTTTGTCTATTTCGTTTGCTTAGTAGCAGCTTCTTGACAGCTACACATCATTCAGACAGCTATTTTGATTTGAATTAAAACAATTTAGGGTATTCTCAGACTGTTGCACAGTGCTGTATGTCCAAAAGCTTGTAGAGACCTAGTCATTCTGTGTTTCTCCTGAAACAAAGGGCATTGATAGGGAGTGTGCTGCAGTAACAGCCTCAACCTTTCTGGGAAGTCTTAACACTAGATGTTGGAACATTGCTGTGAGGATTCAATAGCCACAAGAGCATTAGTGAGGTCAAGTACTGATGTTGGATGATCAGTTCTGGATCACAAAAGCCTCCCCAATTCATTCACTTCAGCATGCTGAGGAGCTATTACCCCTCCAGTCAACACTTGGCATTGGGAAGATTATACAAGCTATGCACAGCTGTGCACCTGTGTCAGCAATGAGTGCACTTTAAATTAGCTGAATTCACCAATTAGAAGTTGTGTCTGAATACCTTTGAACATATTGAGTACAATTATCACGTCATGTCAGACTTTTTCAGGCTTTTTTGTTCTACAAAATTAGCTCAAATTTGGAGTCAAACCATATTTGAAATTTTTAATAACCTTAATGTAATTCCAACAACTTCAGACAAGTTCACTCAGAATGTTACACATATTCACAAGTTACTCATTTATTATTGTGATTTTACTTGTTCTAAACCACAATGTATCATTTTTTTCATTCTGTTGTCATTCTTTGTAGTGTTTGTGTGAGAGCCCATTTTCCTACTGTACTTTTTTTTAGTCCCTGGTCACTGTAAATGAAAAAGTTCTGCTTGGGATGTATATCCACTTAAAAAAGCATATTTCAGGATAACAGTTTTAACCTATTAAGTGGCCAGGGCCCACCAGCGGCCCCAAAGTTTTATTTCACTTCTATAATCTGAGAATCAGCCAGTTTGCACTGAAGTCCCTGTAGTTACTAAATAATAAGTATTTGGATTTTAAGGGGTTAATACAGAGTTGCTTCTCATTGAAATGTACTTAATTCCCCAAGACAGCACACATTCTTTGTGTGTGTTTTGTGTGTGTGTGTGTGTGTGTGTGTGTGTGTGTGTGTGTTTATGTGTGTGTAAGGTGATAATTAAAATGATGGTGATTCGCTGAGATATTGGCCTATTTTATCACTTCATGAGAAATGATCAAATTGAGATGTACATGTATTAAGCATGAAAATATGTACAATTTACAAAAAAGTAACGCTGTTGGACCAAGGACTAACAAAAGTGAAATAAGAAAATCGGATGCTGTAGCCAGGCCGTTTTACCAATTTCAATTTTGTTCGCAGATTTGTGCTCAGTGAAGCTCTAAGAACTGCGATCATAAAGGAAATTAAAAATTCCAGCATGTGCATAAATAGTTGAAGCACAACTTAGCACTGACAAAAGTCAGCAATGGCATCAGTTCTTCACACTTGGTTTCCATTCCAAAACCAATAGCTTAAGTATGCAGTGTTTCTTGGGGAGAGATGTGATTTGGCTTCCATTTTCAGTCAAAAGAAGCTTCAATGAAAGACCAGAATCCAACAAAACATCAAGGACACATTCACATTACTTCCACTCTAGCTGATTCAAGTTACTTCTGCTGTTTGGAAAAGGTGATGCACTGAAATTGCTAGATTCTAATATGTGTACATTATTTCCACATAAAAATGTCACACCAACAGAACGTAAGTGAAAGACAAAATAATGTTTTTTCATGTGTAATACATGTGATTCATGTGATAATATACACTGTTTGAATCTTGTAAGTTTAGTGCATCACTTTTTTCACTGCACATGGCCACTGTTAGCAGAGAATACATGAATCGTCAAGGCAGAGTTGAAGCGAGGTTACAAAGCTGCTCTCTCTGCATAAGCAGAACGCCACCACTGCTACAGGTCCTGTATCATGTCCCGAAAATAATTCCCCACTCGCACACGTTTATAATGAAATCCATTATCCTCGCCATCACAACACGAACCAGATGTGCTGGAAACTGTGCGCTGCTCTTGGTGAATGAGGCGGTATATTTATGCATAATGATATGAAACGCTAAGATTTTATGTGCTGTTCAAAGCCAGATAGGGGCAGCAGGATGGTCAGCCATTTCAGTTCCCAGGAAGAGTCTGTCAAATCCAAAACAAAAGCCCAGCACCAGGCCTATCTCTCCTTCTCAATGAAAACAGTAGGCCTCTAACTATGTTTTATATTAGTGATCGAGAAATCTTCTGACTATTTTGGTGATTGATTATGCAATCAGAGCTTTTTAAAACAGACCAATCATTCATAATGGACTTAGGTGAACATTAATAAGCCACACACAGCCTTTCACACACACACATACACACATCATCTAAACCGCTTATCCTTCTGGGTCGCAGGAGGGTGCTGGAGCCTATCCCAGCTGTCATTGGGCGGAGGGCAGGAAACACCCTGGACAGGTCGCCAGTCACACAGCCTTTCAAAGACTCCAAAATACTTAAAAAAACTATGAATTAGTGTAAATGCATATCAGTCGGTGTGATTATTATACTCTGCCTATAACTGTATCTGCATCATCCTGCAAACCACCAACGAATCACTGTCAATTCATTGGGAAGGTATATTTTAACAGAGTAACTGTGATATCCCTAGAGAACAGAAATCACAGGAAGTGGTTATCTTTTTTCACTATTGCTTTATGTAAAACGGAACAAAAATGGAGGAGGTTGCATACAATATAGTCTTCTGTCTACTGTCAGAGAATGTGGTTCATTCTGTCCACTGATTTTTCAAACATTAACACCTCAAATGGCCATTCATTCAGATTGGTTTAATGTGAAATGCTTTATTCTAGAGAAGCTTGCTGAATCAAAGGTGATAGGACAAGACGTCTAAAACATTTAATGCCTCACAGAAAGTTATTACACAAA